GGCGGGTAGGGGGTCGCATTGAGGAACCTGGCCTTGGGGCAGCAGAGAGAGTAAATCCGTCCCTGTCTGGGAGCATCAGCTTTATTAATATATGTATTTGGCTCCCAGACCCGAATGGCATGCAGGAGCTTCTCAATGCAATTCAGAAATTCGGATCCCGAATGCCATTCAGGTCTGGGAGATTCAGCTTTAGTATTAATATCTGTAGATGGTTTTCTGTGGTATATGCAACAAATATTCGTAAACTCATCCGAAACTAACGAAAATTGGGATTTTGTCTGAATCCGAAACCCGAACCAAATTGAATTTCGGATCCGAATTCCCAAATAACAAACTATCCGAACCGAATTTTTCCGCAGCTTACATGTCTAGTTCTGATCAGGATGGGCTAACTCCAGCAGCCTTGTCCAATTATGTATAGCAACCCCTTAATTGTAACCCTCCAGCGCCCTAAGTGCAGCCCCCACCCCCTTACAGCCTCCATATACTTACCTATAGCCCCAATCCACTGATGCTTGCTGTATCGCCCTGATCAGCACCGTGCTGCCTTCATTAAGAAAACCTCTGGCCCGATTCTATAGGATTCCTATGGGATGAGCTACCCTATAGGACCGCTGGAGGCCACCATGAGTATAGCTGTCCCATAAGGATAAATGGGGCAGCGGCAAACTTGCCCGGTGTGAATAGGAGACAGCTGCAGGTGTAGTGTTGGGCATTGATGCACAGTGAGCATCGCTGGATTGGGGATAAGGGTCAGTTGCTGGCTGGGCTGCAGTCAAAGGGCACCGGGGGGGATTAATTACATAAAAGACAACTTCACCTTTAGTGAAGGTGAAGCTGTCCTTTGAACCGTTAATTTTGGAAGGTAAAACATAACATTACATTTTTCAACATTGGCTTGTGTTAGTAATACTGTACATATCCTTGCGACTACTAGGGGTGTATTTATAAAAAACTAATTGCAGATCCATTCTTCCTGCGAAATGGCATGTACGAATGGAGGCAAAAACGAATGTTCTCCGTATGTTTTCTTTTTCAAGTCAAGTGTAATATTGGAAAAATATGCATTATGACCACTGGATGGCGCTGAGGAGCATAGAAAATAAGTATTTATTAAATTCCTTTGCTCCTCAGCCCCATCTAGTGGCCATAATGTGGTGCGAATCTACAAGGCAGACGTTTGCAGAGGGAACAGCCCTGCAAACGTTTTAGAAATGTGCCCTCAACACTGCCACTAAAGCTGCCCATACACCTTACAGCCATCGCACGACTTTCGTTGTGCGATGGCTGTAAGATGATTATAATTTCGTACGACCTGCCCAACTTGGGGTGCCCACACACCTTACGATAATCGTATGATAATTGCGGGAAATCCGTGATTATCGTAAGTTGTGTAGAAGCCGTGTGACCTCTACTACTGTAAGGTCGCACGACTTTTAACTTACGAACGTGTTCGAAAACCCGCCGAGCATCGTACGATGTTCGGCGGGTGTGGAGCATGTTCGTAAGATAAAAGCCGGACGGGCCGGTATGCGCAAGCGCACACTGCCCATTCGGCATTGCGGTCATCGGAAGCCCGCCCCTCAGGGGGCGCGGCTTACAATCATCGCAAGTACGATCTGCCTGTCCAAGATAGGCAGATCGTACGTTTTTTTTAAGTACCTCACAATCATCGCAAGACAAAAGTCTTGTGATGGTTGTAAGGTGTGTGCCCAGCATTAGACAGGCAGATCGTACCTGCGATCATCGCAAGCCCTCCCCGCTGAGGGGAGGGCTTGCAGGTGATTGCAATGGTGAGCGGGCAGTGTGCGCTTGCGCAGCCCGGGCCGTGCGGCTTTCATCTTGCGATTGCGCTAACAACCCGCCGAAAATCGTCCGATTTTCGTTGGGTTTTCTAGCGTGCTCGTTATACGAAAATCGTGCGACCGTACAGTAAATGCGGTGGCACGCTGCCCATACACCTGCCGCGTATCGTACGATCGCGCGATCACCCGCGATGAACGTACGATAAACCGCCAGGTGTATGGTCACCTTTACACTAACCTAGATCAAGCCTTGAGCTAACTATTTTTATTTTATTTTATTTTGAGGGGAAAAAAAGGCATTTCAGCTTCCTG